TGGATTATGTTCTCATTAGTGATCAATGCAGTCAATGAGCCATGCAAAGTGTGCCGTCAATTGTGTATTTAAAGGACATAATTATTCATCGATGGCCTTTAATTTTTCGTTGGATATTGAATGATATTTTTGAAAAGATATGAAATTATTCACAGTTACATTTTGTATATATATAATTAAAGTTTAGTTGGATATCAACTGCTTTGTAAAAGAGATACAAAAATATTTGTTAGTTATTGAAATTTGAAAGGGATATATTAACGAATGAATATAATTTGTTAAAACACATTTTTTTATAAATCAAATCAAATTGTTGTTGAGCTACATGTACAACTGCACTAATTTCTTGCTTAATTTCTCCAACATTGAAAGAATACCAATATGCACATCCTTGTGAAGTAATTTTCATTAAACAAAATCACAGTATCTCCTCACTCTGTTTCTTTAAACACGTTCAATGATGCATATGGCCTAGCTTGTACATGTCTGAATATCAGATTGTATAATACTGTGCATAAATTGGCATATGTCATGTACACAGCAGCTGCTAGCCTGCTACTAGTAAGATATACCCTGCGTAATTCAATTTGATTCCTTTCATACCACTATAATGTGAATTCATTGCCATGTCAGATGGGGTGGTTCAAGGGGGGGGGGGGGGGGGGGAGTTCCTAGCTCTTTTACAAGGGGAAGTCCATATGTCAATGTGAAGTAAACAAAAGAAAAACAAAAAGTTCCCTGTACTAAATTTTCAGACCCAAAGTCGACTTGCGCACTACAAGTTTTTAATTTACATTGCTGTGTCATTGGGGGTTTTGCATCACAGTGGTAGATGTATGAAAAGGGCCGGGAGCAGCGTCACACCGGCCCTTTTTTAAAACCCATGTGCCCCCACTTAGATTTAGAGATGGAAACAAAATATGCCTCAATTTTGTTTAAATGTAACGTAAGATAAACACAAAATACGAATTGGGGAAACCGGCAAGAAAGAACATTAAAGTCTTATATGGTACTGGTCCCTTATGGTAAAATACCCTTATCTAACACTTAACGCCTTACACCTAATAACCAGGGCATGTAAAGTCTCACCTCCCTGTTATAACTAACACTAAACATTTAACACCTGATTGCATTTATAAACAAATAATAACATGCTATTCACATATAACGTAATCGTTTGTATCTATGTTTAAATGTATTTGAAGTTGGGCTTGATTATACATGAGGAGGTAATTCATTCAATAAAATTGGTCTTTTAAAGAAAATTGCATTTTTGGAGTTTTAATAAGTGGTGTATGAAAATATGATGATTGCCTAGTTCCACATGAATGTATATCAAAATTCAAATGAAATTTGAGGGGATAATTCCTTTATGACATAAAAACATAAATATAACAATATTATGATCATTCAATTCAAATACATAAAAACATTTAAAACGAACAAAACAGGTTTTGTATGGGCAAGTCAATGGGATCCAGAGATAATACGTATTGCCTCATTTTTAATTCATATAATCTATTCAAACAATAATCATTTGCATTTGCCCAAACAAAACAATGCACTGTACCGTGTGAGTAAAAAAAAAGTGACACCTAGAATAATGCCAATTATTTTAAAAATCATCTATGAACAATAACTTATTATACATCTTATGAAAGAGTTTTTATCCCGAATCATCATTTTGTGTAGTATTTGTTCACGCTTGGATGAACAGGAGGCATTGTTTGCGAGAGTGCAAAAATAGAATTGCACCAAAGTTGCTTATGTGATGTTTGAATAAAACAATTGGGATTCGGAATTAATTCGGGCTTTGCAGGTCCATATAACATCCCTAACAAAATTAATCATGCCACACCTATCAAATATATTTTTTTCGAATATTTTTTTAATTTATTAATTCTTAAAATAAACTAGTATTGTATTATAAACATTACGTACCAGAACCCCATTCGCACTTGCGCATGCACTTCACTGCACCCACTTGATCAATTTCGCGTGTACAATTATATAATTTAAGAGTTTGCCGCTATTCTCTCGAGGCCGCCATCGATTTCAAGCTTACCGCTCATGATTGCGGTCTCCTGCATTTTCTGTAATTTATCTGTTTTCATTGAAATTATATTTGTGTTTGTATGCATCTTATTCAATGTACTTAAAAATGTATAATTATGTAAAATGAAGAAATATTTGTTACTTTATGTATATGATTATGTTTCATTTTGAAAATGCAAAAATAAAAACAAACAAACAAATATCAAATATCAAATATCAACGAACTTTTGTGCGCGCATGTGTGTTGTCTGTGAATTTGCTTCTGCAAAAAGGATATAAAATGCATTTCATTTAATACATTCAATTCATTATCTCACTTTGGCGCAAGTCGATGTTTGCACTCTCGCCAAAAAATACCCCCTGTTAATCCAAGCGTGAACACATACCACACAAAATGATACCAAATGATTTGGGATAAAACACTCTTTCATAAGATGTATAATAATTTACTTTTCATAGATGATTTTTAAAATAATCAGCTATTTTCTAGGTGTAAATTTTTTTGACTCACACTGTAGAAGAAGCTTAATATTAAGATAATCTTACCTGTGTAAAATATTCCCCCGTTGGATTGAGAAGTTGCGTTTAAAGATTTAGTATTAGGTGGAGAAAGTAACACTGGCTGCCTGTACAAATTATGAAAAACATGAAATGTATGCATTGCATGTTGGACATTCTTGTAATTTACCGAAATAAATATCATGTACGGCAAATTTGGTACAAGTACAAAATAACTTGGAACAAGCTGCTTTGCAAGAATACAATTTTTACTTTTGTTCCACATAATCTTTAATCTATCGACACATCTGTGTTTAACCATGGACACATTTTTCCTGGAACTTCATGTTTTCCCTTTTGGCATAAAATATAATTTACAATTTTCTAGCTAGATGAAATATTGCCATTTGCACTTTCAAACCGCTTAGAGTAAAATAAACGACGTGAACATCATATAAATGATGTTCCTTTATTTCTATATTTCTCAACATTATCTGATGATCTTTTTCTAATACTTCTTTTACATAGGACGTTTCTTCTTTGTATTGATTGAAGTATCCCTCTAGTAATCCATGGATGCATTCCTTTATTCTTGTCATTTAATTGCACATATGGAAAATGTTTATTAAAAAGCTAATAAAACTTATTCCAAAATACTTCAAAAGCTCTTTCTACATCGTCACAAACTATAACATAATTCATATATTCCGAGAGTAAATCATCATTCAGACAAAAAAAATGTTATCAGTAATTTTACGTTTCTTTTCAATTCGCCTTTTTTGTGTTACGTCAGTATTGTGGTCAAAAAGTAAGCAAAACACGGGTAGATGATCAGATATTTCACAATAAAATAGACCTGATTGAGAAAACCCTTTAGATGTTTTTACGAAATTATTATCCAACAATGAAGATGAATGATCACTGATTGTGGTTGGTTTATCAATCATTACACTACATGCATTGAATCTAGAATATTTCGAAGACGAAGTGAAATTGGACTATTATTCAGTAAATCGGTTTTAAAATCACCCATAACACAAACAGATTTATTGAAGAGTTGACAGTTAATATGAGTGGTTCTAAATCATTTAAAAAGTGCGAGGTGGTCTGTATATAACGCAAACGACAACATTCTTTTCCTTACGAAGATCAACTTCAATCCATAATAGTTCCGCAGTTTCGTTTTGGAAAGAAATTATGTCAGGGCTTAGCAGATAAAGAATCCCACCCCTACCACTCGACCTGTCTTTACTATTTGTTTGTAACCTTCTAAGGTATATAAAGGTGGAGATTGAAAATTTAACCATGTTTCTTTAATGTCTATAACTGAGCAATCGAATCGTAATGATGATAACAGGATATTCATATTTTCATTATTCGTACTTAGACTCCGAACATTACAATGTAAGAAACAAAGAAATTGTGTTGGTTGAAGTTGATCCTTAACAGGATTAAATTCATTAGGAACGCAGTAGCTACAGTAAATATTTGCATGTCTTTAACCGACCAATACAATGTGAAGTTCCTGTTGGTTTTTGGCTGGGGAAATCTACTAAATAATAATAATAAAAACTTTGAAACCGATATTGGTTTATCATCAATATTGTACAAACGACAAATATCTTCATATCAAAAGTTAAGTTCTAGAACGTTGGACAAACACACTGTGAAGTTCTTGTTGGTTCTTGGCTTGGGTAATTTACCGAATAATAATAATAATACAATTTTTGAACCAATATTGGTTTTATCATCAATATTGTACAAACGACAAATATCTTCATATCAAAAGTTAAGTTCTAGAACGTTGGACAAACACACTGTGAAGTTCTTGTTGGTTCTTGGCTTGGGTAATTTACCGAATAATAATAATAATACAATTTTTGAACCAATATTGGTTTTATCATCAATATTGTACAAACGACAAATATCTTCATATCAAAAGTTAAGTTCTAGAACGTTCGACAACTACAATGTGAAGTTCCTGTTGGTTCTTTGCTGGGGAAGTTTACTGAATACTGATAATACAAACTTTGAACCGCTGTTGGTTTATCATCAATCTTGTACAAATTACAAATATGTACATATCTAAAGTTTTGTTCTTGAACGTTCGACAAATACATTGTGAAGTTCCTGTTGGTTGCTTGGCTTGGGAAACTTACTGCATAATGATAATAAAAACTGTGAATCAATATTGGTTTATCATCAATATTGTACAAACGACAGATTTGTTCATATCAAAAGTTATGCTCCTTAACGTTCGACAAATACAATGTGAAGGTCCTGTTGATTGCTTGGCTCAGGAAACTTACTGAATAATGATAATAAAAACTGTAAACCAATATTGGTTATCATCAATATTGTAGAAACGACAGGTAAGTACATTTATTAAAAGTCAAGTTTTTGAATGTTTGACAAAATTTATACGGTTAATTGCCAGTTGCCAATCGGTCACCAGCTTGTGAGGATGGAAAATTAACAGCGGCACTATTTGAGAGCATTTGTTTTCTAAATTTGCAATTTTTCAGCCTACATATGTGTAAAGAAGGTAAGACTTCAGTTTTTTCTACAATCTGTGACCAGATGCCGATGAATATTGATATCAAGTTTGATTAAATTTGGAGAAAAAAAAGTTTTGTGATTATACCATACATAAGATTGTTTTGAGTGACCATCAAAGCTATTTATCTATTCATAGGCGTAGTGAAACAGAAATGCTCTTTTGAGTGTAAGGAGCCACAGTTCATCCACCCTGGACTTGGCGGGATATCAAAAATCTAGCACTCAGCAAAAACAAGAACAAAAAAATCATCGAGGGGAGGGGGGAGGGGAGGGGTTCAGTTTGGGCAGGGATAAAATAATATTTTGAGAACTTTTCCTCATTGGTTATCCACAAATATTATAAAAGAAGTAAGTTTTCAAACAGAAAAGATGTACAAAAATACCAACAGTACTCCTTTACACATCCTTCAGTAAGAAGGAGATTTCTTAATAGATAGTTAAGGAGTGGGATATTTTAACAATTTTAAAGCTCAGAACAAATGGAGAGCTGATACAAAAGAGATCATAATTTACTGATTTTATATTTGATAGACCACAAATTTCTAAAATGTTAATGTTTTTATACACTATTATCAGTGAAGATCAGATCTCCGCACGAATACACTGTGTGGAAAGTAAATGTATATGTAAGCCGCAATTTCATTTAAAGTGGACTTATTTCAATTTCTCAGGAACACGGTTTTGCTGGATGATTTGGCTGGTCCCCATTTTGATGATCATCGATACAACAGCAATTCCAACTTTCAAACTGATTGACGATTTGACAGAAAATAAAGGGCGCAATTTCGAAGTTGCAATTACAGATTTTAACAGAACTTCTCCTCTACTGAGCAATAAGTTGCAAAAAGGTGTCAGTCTTTAATTTTCTTTGAGAAACGGTGCCAACAGATTTAATAAAAATCTCAACCAACTAGGAACAGCAGAGTCAGCATATTGAAACGTGTATGACTTTCTACTATAGCGGTAGACATCTAACAGTTGTTGCAAGGCTTGAATTCTCCGGAAGTCTCATTATTTTTGAATGGTGAGAAGAGCAACTGGTACACTGGAAAAGGAAAGAGAAGTGTTTTATTTGATATAGTTTGATGTTGTAATTACGGCTTTAAACATAACTTCTCTGATACCAAACAATAAGCAGCATCAATGCGTCATTCTTTGAGACTGGGCAGAAACGGATTTAATAGCAACCTCAACCAACATCTGGAATTTGAACTTCACAGCAGATTTAATAGACTGACAAATATATGATTTTCTAATTTAGCAGTGCTAAACATCCAACAACTGTTGCAAGGCTGAAATAATCGTCAAGAGGTTAGTCTCCTTAACTGACTTTGGAATGCTGAGAGGAGCAACATTGGAAAAGGAAAAAGATTTGTTGTATTTCATGTAGTTTGATGTTCAGATTACAACTTTAAACAGACCACTGCAACAAGTTGCAAAAAGGAGCCATTTATTAAAACCTTCTTTGAGACTTGATGGCAAAGGTTTTAATGGCAATCTTAACCAACATCAGGAATTCCTGTTGAATTTCGATCTTCACAGCAGAATCAATACCTTGAAAGTATTTGATTTTAAAATTTAGCAGTGCTAAACATCAAACACTTGCTGCAAGGCTGAAATAATCGTCTAGAGGTTAGTCTCCGCATTTGACTTTGAATGCTGACAAGAGCAACATTGGAAAAGGAAAGATATTTGTAGATGAACAATCAGATTGTATTTGTTTTTTTGATTTTGTTTCACTGTTAAATCTGACAAAAGAAAACTATAAAAAAGGCAGGACTTCCTTTCATGTACTAAATGTACACACTTGTATTTCGATCACATTTTACAATAGAGCAGAGCCAGACAAACAATCATGTTGCATTTTACCGTTTTCTTGAAGAAGGAAATGTAAACAAAAATCAAAAGAGGCAGTGCTTTTTTTACTGGCTGACTATAAAACTTGTATTTTAATGTCATGAGTTTCTTTTTCGTGTAAAATTTTCTGACATCAAAATCGAATACCGGTATTGGCTATAAGCCAAAGTTTTCTGCAATCAGTAAAGTTTTCAGTTTTCTGGAAGCAGAACCTTGCATAGCTGTTCAACCTTCTATTTTCCTGAGCTTTCCCCCTTCAATATTTGTCTTACTTGTAAATCATCTGTTCAGAGCCAGAAGGATATTAACTCTATACCTTAATACCACACACTTAGAGCCCTAATCTGGCTATAAACAGACACAACTAGCTGCTAGTATACTATTTTTTATGAGCCAACATGGATAAGTCGCAGGAACTTATATTTTTATTTGTTATCTTTTTTGCACTGATCCCATTATCAAGAAGTTTATCTGCGCTGATGCCATTATCAAGTAGAAGTCCTTTTGTCACGGTTACTGAGGATGAAGCCGTGCAACTTGAATTCCCATATCCATGTGACAGTAATAGAGTCACTATACAGAGCGCAAACAGACTTCCATTTTACAGTTCAGCAGAGCCAGAATCTCTAAATTTGCCCTTTTATCAATTGAATAGGTTCAGTGTAACAGATGGTAATTGTTCGGTTCAGGTTGTCATAAATCCAGTAAAGAGAAGTGATGAGGCAACGTACATATGCCAAACGTACGTGGATGGTGTCATTCAGGGCAGGTTCACTAGGATAAGGTTAAATGTCCATCATCCTCCTGGTGATGTAGCTTGTACATTCAATTTCAACGATGATGCAGTTGGTGATTGGGTGCCACTACAATGTACAGCTCCTGTTGGCAGCTTGGCTGGAGGGATTTATTGCTACCAAGATTATACACGATTGGCTCCACAGAGTAACATTGTTCAACTTGGTGAAACTTTGAAACAAACATTTTGGGCAAGACTACAAATTTCCATATTCTGTTGCTCAGCTATCCTTGATCGACCTAAAGACAGATGTGATTGTAAAGGTTTCGTTTGGGATCCCATTGGAAATATTTCTCACACAAAAACCATCATAGACCCTTGTCCTGGTACCACACCGGGCCTAGTTGCAACATTATCCAAATACCCTGAAAGAGAAGTTGAAGATAACTCCCAGCTTCATCAGCTTATAAATTCACCAAAACCGACTGATACAAACAAGGATAAGTCAACTGCTAATAATACTACAATGTTATGGGTACATTGGTCAAATGGAGCTGCCATTGTATGTATGATAATAATGCTGGTTATTATACTCATAGTTCTCTATTTGACTAAGAAAATCTACAAGAAATGTAAAAAATATGAAGTCACATATCACACGGAAACTATGGTAGAGAATGAGACGCCTTTTACAAGTTCACAAAAGAAAGAAATTGTGTTGAATGTCTTGAGCAGTAATAAACATAGCATGGCAAGGCCCAACTCATTGTAGCAATTTTTCATTATGGTTAATATACCTTGAATATACCTTGATGATCCCATATATAGTGTGGTGTGGCAGGGTTAAGGGGGTCCCATGGGACCCATTTAAAAACCCAGGTTGGATAGTTGTTGTTTGAAGCTTAGGAGTGTGGGAGCATCAATGGCAGTTTGTGGCAGCTTGTTCCATTTGCTTACAACTCTCTGGCTATAGAAATTTTTCCTGATGTCAAGGCGGCTTCTTGTTTTGGCTAGCTTCATGGAATGGCCTCTTGTTCTTTCATAGTTAGCAAACTGAAAATAATTCTCGTGTTTTGGATTTGTCGATTTGCCTCATTATCCTGTAGGTTTGCAGTAGGTCTCTTCTCTCTCGTCTTTTCTCCAAAGTAGTTAGTTTCAGTTTTGCTAGTCTCTCTTCATATGGTAGATATTGAATACTTGGAATGAGTTTTGTGGCTCTTGCTTGAACTTTTTCCAACTATTTTTTGTCTTTTTCCAGGTAGGGACACCAGGCCTGAATGGCGTAATCTAGGTGGGGTCTGACGAGTGATTTGTACAGTTTTAAGATCAATTCCTTACTCCTGAATGTAAAGTTGGGTTTGATCATTCCTAGTGTCCTGTTTCCTTTATGAGCTCCTTTATGAAAGACAGGATTTATTGAAGTCACCTAATGTGCCCACAATGGCACAAATGAATTTGGAACTTACAAATCCCCCCAAATACATTGATCGTATTGAGAAACAATTAAAGTGCAAAATATGCTCATTAAAAAAATATCAGTATCAAATCAATGAGAGATGAGCACTTCACAACTACAGGAATCGATCTGTGAGATGTCGATGAATGGACAGCTATCAAATACAGGCCTATTTAGATATGTGTATGTACTCCTCATTTATTAAAAAAATATTAACAATTCTTTATATGTGTATCTAAATAGAAGTTCAAGTTCAAGTTCAAGTTTTATTTCTATTTTCAACAAGAAAAATGCAAATTATGTACAATAAATAAATTACCAACAACATTTTACTAAGTATGCAAAAGTTATTATACAACTTTACATGTTATTTTTCTTTGCATAACAAAAACATAATTCATTTTTATTTTAATTGAAGGGAAATCCAACCTTGAAAGCAAACTTGTCTAGAATAACGCAGAAAAAATCTGAAAGGCACATTGATGTAAGTTTGAATGAAATCGGACAAAAGAAAAATCAAAAGTTACTAATTTTGGAAAGATGCAATTACTATAAGTCAGGGCTCTTCAAATTGGCTTAATTGATAATGTCTATGTGATGTAGTAGCGTACAACTTTCCCATTTGCTCCAATACACAAAAGGACTAAAATTTCAACTTTTCATAAATGTAGACTCGGGGTGGTCTATTCTTTTTAGAGGACCTGTAATAATGTACTCTACATGATATATTTTGAGTAGTGCCCCGAGGGTGAAATCACTTGGAAGAAAAACAGAAATAAGTGATATTTTTGTACCCGACACTGAACGGGAGAGTAATCCGTCACTACGTCACAATCCATTGACAAAATTGCCGTTTTGAGATTCGCACAGCTGTAGTGATCTCATATTTTAAACACTCATAACTTTCTTAATATTGGTCCGATTTATTTCAAACTTAAGCCATTCTGTTTCTCTGATTTTTATGCTCTTATTCAAATGAACTTATTAGAAAGGTTGGATTGCCCTTTAAGTTTTAAGGAATTATAAGATAATCATATCATATAATCTAAATCAAGGAGAAAATAAAAATGTTGCTGTATATTTATATATCAAGTAAAAATGGAGGGATCCACTAAAAAGCATGGCTTGTAAAGTGTGGACCCCTCAACAAATAATGTTCTAACGTATTAACACACACACACACGTGTCCACGGAGACTACTGAAGACAACAGGTGTCAATATAAGACGCAGTGTGGAAGCACAAGGGTAGAATTATGAACTAAATGGACAAGATTATACAAAAGAAAAAGGGTGAGTGCTTTTAGACCGCAAGACTGAAAGACAGTGTATACAAAAAATAGGAAGTACGTAGGAATTAAGAGCATGATGAGGGAGGCTGAATACCATAATTCAGGCAAGGCAATATTGAAGATGAGTATAACATTAAAAAGTTTTAGAGACAAGTTTTGAATCCATTTATTACCCCAATATTACGCGCAACGATTTTATAAATATTATCTATATGACATTTCCATGAAAGTTTATTATCGACAGTTACTCCCAAACATTCAATATGAGGCCCCTCTTCTAACACATTATTATCAAATACAATATTTAATGGCAAAGAATCTATTGATTTACTAAAAAGCATATATTTAGTTTTCTGACAATTTGAAGATATTTTTTAGCTCTAATCCACTGAGAAAGCTATAATAGTTAAATATTGATAGTTTCTGATAAAGTAAGCGGAATACTGTGATAAAAACATAATTTGGTATCATCGGCAAAACGTAAGAATGACAATATGTCAGACGATTTACAGAAATCGTTTATATAAAGAATAACTAAGAGTGGAATCAATACGCTACTTTGGGGGACGCCGCAATTAATATCATGAAATTTTGAATTAACATTATTCAAGGAAACGTACTGTTTTCTATTGGAAAGGTAGCTCCGGTACCACTCCAAGGCCTTCCTACTCACACCATAGTCGGAAAGTTTATGAAGTAAAATATTGTGGTTGATCGTGTCGAAGGCCTTGGAGAAATCCAGTAATATGCCCACCGTGTCTAAAGATTTATCAATAGCATGTGTCACCTCATCAACAAAAGAAAACAAATTGAAAAATAGAAACAATTGTTATGATTAATTTAAAAGGGAAAAAGTCCGAGTATATATCATATATCAACTACTAATGTCTCATTTATCTCCTTTCTTAATAAGACGGACAACCTTAGCAATTTTCCTAATATCCGAGACTTGACCATTTAATAAGGATAAATAAAAAAAAATATGAACGAGGGGAAGAACTATGGCGTGAAAATACCATTTAAAAGGATTTTTTAAAACGCCATCATAAAGTATCAGTCATGCTCCTAGAAACCTTCTGCTCAGTAGAACGACAACATGTTGGGTCATAGCTAAAGAGATGTTTAGGTCAACTCACTTTGAGATACTACAATAACACTCATAAGATTTATTTTGATCGCATGCTTTATTTATTAAAAATAACAAGAAAAACCATGTAAAAAGGAACATTCAAGTCTAGGCTACTGCCTGAAGACAAAGGACAGTACAAGGCGGAAAAAAATACACACAATTCGTCGCTGTTTTCACGAAGTGACGGTAGTGAAAAAAAATTGCATTCACTTTGCGTTACGATTTTCCTCACTACCGTCACTTCGTGAAAACAAGGACGAATTATGCATGTACAGGAATAACAAAAGAAAACAGGATAAACATACAATGTAACTAATAATGCAACCAAAGGAGAGGAAGATACACAATTCGAAGAAGAAAAAAAAACCAAGAAAAAACAAACATGTAACTATTGGATATTTGGGTATATATCAATAGCCTATACTTCATTTGTTATCAGATACATGTATGTTTGCCCCAACATCTATGGTATTTCCTTGAGTGACAATTTTGTCATAAATTGTAATTTGTAACATGTTATATAGCAGCTAAACTGTATGCTGTCTTTGCTGTTTTTAGTACTCTGATTAGTTTGCTGTATTAGATATAAAAGTGCTTTATAAGAAACCCTTATTATTGTTGTTATTATTACTTGAGCTTGGACCCGCTCAAACTGGGAAAATCATACTTATTGAATTCAACTGATATTCATAATGTACAGGTTTCCTAGTAAACATATACAACTAACAAATGATTATTTAATATCATTTGCTGTATTTTTCGGTCTTGTATATATAGTCTTTCCTGAACTGCATTCCTTCTTTTCAGTGTATATGTACACTTTGGTGTATATGTAAAATAATTCCTAGGCACGCCATCACCTTTATTTGTACACTAGTGAGTTATCTACCGAGTCTTTTCAAAGTATTGCTGACCATCTTTTTGAAAAATCTGTGTTTGCATTTTTAGTTTCATAATTAGTTTGATGTTTTAGTATTAATGACTGCTTTGAGAGAAATAGTTGTTTTTATACGCTCAAGGGAAGGTTAGGATTGTGCTATTGCCCGAGGCGTGCCGAGGGCAATAGCCCAATTGTTACCTTCCCGAGAGCGTATAAAAACAACTATTTCTCGAATATTAAAGCAGTCATTAATACTTTTATATGCCAAAAAAAGAGTCAACTTATGACACCATCTTGGCCTTTATCTTGTTTGTCTGCACGGTTGTTTTTTTATGAATGTATCTTTGAGAGTAGACTAAAAAAAAATTTGTTTTTTGTTTTTTGTTTTTTTTGTCGAAGAAGGGATTCAATCTCTTGCGTACCAACGATGATGTGACTAAAATCACAGCCTTAGACCGCTCGGCCATCGCGCACTTATACCATACCTTCCAGTTTTCTCTGATATATACATTCAAATGGATTGAAAACGGCTTCGCGTGCTGGATGCTTCGCGGTAGCTCCATTAAACGGGCCCTTCTTTTACATTTGCAATGCATTGGCACGAACTTAGATCTATTTTTGGAAGTTTATATTCGTCTTCATGTCAACAATGCAAGATAAAATTGTCGGTAAGATCGATCGAGATTCAATTGTATTGAAATTACCGACCAATTCATCGCTCACGTACGGTATCCTCGATCGCTCAGACCTTTTTTTTAACATGTGAACCTATGGGTATTTCACCAAGACTGGACTATTTTCCCAGTAACCATGGTAACTGGGATTTTAGAACTATTTTTTGAACTATTACATGGGTTTGGAATTTTACCGGGAATTTTACAGGAATAGTTGAAGTTTATGAATGCAATTTCGACCAATCAGATGGCTGGATTTCTTAAGTGAGGTATATAATAATATATAATCATTTCTTACCATGTCAAATTATGTACTAGCTAGTGAGTTATTTACCAAGTCGGCTTTCAATAGTATTGCTGAGCTTAATTTTTGTATCTGTGTTTGCATTGTTCTTTTCAGAATTACTTTGATGCATGTTTAAGCAATGCTTACCACGTAATTTTATATACTTGCTTGTGATTTATTTACCCAGCCTTTTCATAGTACTGGTGAACTTAATTATTTTACATCTGTATTTGCATTTTTCCTTTCAGAATTACTTTGGTGTATATGTATAACCATTTCTTATCATGACATTTCGTATACTAGGGAGTTTATTTTACCCATGTCTTGTCCTAGTATTGCTGAACTTTTTTCATTTTCTTTGTTTGCGTTTTCTTTTCAGAATTACTTTGGTGTATTCGTATTTATTATTTACCATGCCATGAATCTTATCTGTGTACTAGTGCGATATTCACTCGATTATTCCACATAATTAAGCTGTTTAGCTGTGCTTCAGCTCGTAATGTTCTTTATCCAAA